AGAAGAAGGGATTGCGGCGTGACCATCCTCCCTAGGGAGTGATTTCTCGATTTCTCGCTTTCTTGTCTCGAAACACCTCTGCCTCATAAGAAAAAAAAAAAAAAAAAAAAAAAACTTTCCAAAAAAACAATAGAAGAGTCTCCACAAGAACATCAAGAAGTTTGGTTTGACATTAAAGAGTGATCATGATTCACACCCCATTTCCTGCTTGAATCCTGTAATCTGAGGCAAGATTTCAAAAGAAAATGATTAGACAGACTTTTGGGAACCCAGTCTCAAAAACGAAGCTTTAAATACATGCCTTAACTGTTCTTGCTCGCATGGGATTAACTGGGTTAGGATGATATATGTTTCTTCAGTTCTCCACTTGGACCAATGATCAAGCTGCATTGAATGCCCTCAGCTGAGCTGAAGTTCTCCCTCTGTATTCAACACAGAACTTTGTTCAACTCTTGGATAGTGTGGACAGAATCTTGGTAATATTAAAATTGAATTTTCTCTCAAAGTAATGAGGGAATAAGTCTTAAATTTAAGCTAAATAATATTTTGAAATAGAATGTATCATTTCCTGCACATATGAATTAGTGTGTGTGTACCTAGAATTCTGTGTTTGTACTTACAATTATGTTTATTTTATTTTAGTTTTTAGTTTTTATTAAGGGTGCACGGAGTCAACAGAGAGAGAAATAGAGAGAATGAAAGACAGAGAAAGTGAGAAATCACCCCCTAGAAGGGAAGACTATGCTGCAGTCACCTCTCTTCCACTCTCCACTTGGTATTTTGGGCAAAAATGCATACATGCCAGGCAAAATTTTCAAGCCACTATATTTGGAGGTTGGGCATGTGTGATCCATGGCACTAACCTCTATGCCTCCTGCTGGTCCCCAATTATATTTATTTTACAATACCATGTGTTTTTTTTTGCACCCCATAAATATTTTTTCAAGTAAGTTATATACTCATTGATCTTCTAATATTATATAAATAAGGGAAAATCCACTTGATATTCACATAACACTAAAAAAAATTTTTAAATAGTAATCTGGCATCATAGTTAGCATTATTGGACTAACTTCAATCTTTTTTTTTTCCTGTCTTCTACTAAATTCAGTGAATCTAGTTTGTTTCAGACAAAGCCTGGAGGTTTTTGAGAAGAAAGACACATGTTTTCATACATTTTATATAATTTGCATTCAAGAAAGATTAAAAAAGTAATTGAGTACAGGTTCGTGAAAAAGTATATATAAAAAAAGAGTAGCCATGGAAAGTGGCTCCCCGCTAGTAAGTTAGAGAAAATCATGTGAATTATGCTTTTAGAATGAATTTTAATGAAACTGTGTGAAGATATGGTTTATCTAAAGTATGCTGCATAATTTTAAGCCCATGAATACATAAACATAATTATGATTCCAAGTTAAAATGTTCTAGTGTCAAACTTGGTGCTACTGCCAAAATATTAATGGAAAACAGAATATTTGGCACGTAGAACCCATCAGTATTTTTGAATAATGCTAAAAATTATGGGAAATAGACAATATTTTTCATCATGCAGTAATGTTGCTATTCAGTTGTTGAAATAACAGAGGACTATAAAATGAAAATGAGTTACCATAAACTTTCACTGCTGAATTTTCAGTAAAAATAGCACTGAAAGAATTCGCCATATCAAAAATAATCCAAAAGCCTCAGCTCTTTAACACATTGGTGAACTCAGAACTAACATGGCTGGCACAAAATCTTGACTTTTAGAACAATTCTTGGCTTATTTTAAGAATTTCTACTAGCTTACATTTAAAACATTAACCATACACATTTTACTTAATTTTTTTTCAGGACTGAGTTTATAATTACAGTAGAAGAAGCACTTAAAGAGGACGGTTAGCTCTCTTTGCTACAAACATGCATCCTAACAGCAGACAGTAATGAGGATTGGCAACTGAAAAGCAGATTTTAGGATAAAACAAAAAAAAAATAGCACTAATACTGAATTCTAAATGCACACTAACATTTGTAATTTAAAGAAAAAGAAAATAAATTTATATTCTTCAGTAGCATACATCTATATCTTACCTTGTGGTTAAACAAAATAAATTACCTTTTGGAACATTAATTTGTCATGTAGAAAATTTTAGGGAAAACTTATATTCTCGAGGAAAATAACATGAACTTCCAACTTGGAAATAAAGAACATATATTATATACTCTTATAATTGTTAAGAATCATGGGATTCCAGAGTCAAATGTGGTATATCTAATTATGCTGGGAAAGGTCTTTTCAACTTATGTTTAGTTCTTATATATTTTATAAAAGGAAATTATGTTAGGTTCCTCTATAATTCCTTTTTAATGGTTTTTTTGTTTGTTAGTTTCTGTTTTTACAGTTAAATATAAAGAAACAAAAGTGCTACAGGGGGCTGATGCTGGAGTATGAACTAGTTTCAAGTACTAGATCATTAATTCACTCATTTAAATAAGTATTTCCATGAAACATATTTATATACTAATATATAAACTATATACTATTTTATTATACTAGATATATTGTATACCATGTTATAGTATATATTTTAATATATTAAGTATGTATTCATGTATAAATATATATTTTAAGGGATGTTATTTAAAATATCAAGAATACATGGAGACGTCTCTGTGTGTGAAGAATAGTAAATGAGGGAACCAGCAGTTAGCGTAATGGCTATGTCGCTGGACTCCCACGTAGTCAACTGCGGTTCACGTCCAGGACCCGGTGGCTTAAAAAACTCACGCCAGGAGCATGTGCGTGCGTGCCCAAGATCCCGAGAGGAGAATGGAGGAGAAGGGATTGCGGTGTAACCATCCCCCCTGGGGAGTGATTTCTCACTTTCTGTCTCTATGTCTCTTTCTGTCTGTCTGGCGAGCGCATGCGTCCTATAGGAAAAAAACCTCTCCAGAAAAAAAAAAAAAAAGAATAGTAAATGAAAGTCATGTGGTAGACAAAATGCCCTCCCAAAACTGCCTAGACCATAATTTCTGGCATCTGTAACTACATTGGTTTAGACGGCAGATGTAACTAAGTTATGGATCTTAAAATAGGAAAGGAAGAGAACTTTCTCTAGCTGGAGTGAGAAGGAAAATTAAAAAGTTCAAAGCATGTAAAGATTCATCATTATTATTGACTTGAATATGCAAGGAGCAGCATGACAGAGAACACAAGGTGGCCTTATGTTGCTGAGAGAGGTTCCTGGGTGACCACAGACAAGAACAGAAGATTTCAGTCTTAACAACCAGGAGAACTGAATTCTGTCAGGGAGCTGAATGATCTTTGAAGCAATCTCCCAGACACTGTAGAGAAGGGCCCAGACTAACAGACACATTGAGTGTGGCCTTCTGAGACCCAAAGAACAGACACTTGCTGAACTCACCTGAACTTCCAGCTTACGGACTGTGAGGAAATAAATCTGGATCATTTTAAGAGACTAAATGTATGGTAAACTGTTACAACAACAAATATAAATCCTTATTCATCTATAGATTTATTTTCCATTTTTAGATAGTTACATTTCAATTATTGAGAAACTCAAACTATGTGGAATGCTCAATTAGTTGATAAGGTCAAGGAAATCATCTGGTTCCCCAGCGTGGTGCCCAAGGCTCTATAGTGATTCTGTATTGATTCAGTTTCTACAAATGTCAAGAAGTAAAATATGTACCATAATAAATCTCTCAAGGATATATAAGATAGAAACAATGAAATCCATAAGTTTATTTTATTCAGTGAGCTCTCATCTAGTTAAATATCTGTATAATATAAATCCACAGCATTATCAGAAACAGTAGTTGCAAATATTGTTATCACATGGTAAAAGAAAAAAAATTAATAAAAAAAATATGTTCTATGGTGCATGTGCTCAACAGGGAAGAGAGAGAAAGAGAGAAAGTAAGAAAGCACCTCCCAGGGGGGATAGTCAAGCCCCAATCCCTTCTTCACCATTCTCTTTTGGGATTTTGAGCATGTAAACATAGGTTCCTGAAGTGTTTTTCAAGCCATTGAGTCAAGACACAAACCATATAGTCAGCTATGTGGGATCCCCGCCCCCTTACCCCCCCATCCCCGGGGGGGGCCAAAAAAAAAAAAAAAAAAAAAAAAAAATCATTTAAACCATATTTGAAAATGAGGGGACTTTGAATTTTTAGAAAAATTCATTGAAAGAAATATGCTGGCTAAACCATTATATTTTAGAATACATATGAGTAAAACTTAAATATCTCCTGAATATCTAACATTGTATTTATTTATGTGTCTTTCTTCTTTCTCTCTCTCAAATACACAAGCAAATACATAACCTACTCTCGTAGCATTTAATTTTTATTCTGAACTGTGTACTATAGAAACTTTCACATACTTAGAAAAAATATGCAAAAACTGAAATTGAAAAGATCTTTCTTTTTTTTTAGAGTAAAATAGGGCGTTTCAAAATTCATGGATAAAGACAATTTTCTTTCTCATTCTTTTACTCATTCTATTCTGGATAGATAGGATTAAAGGAAATATGGGATAAATATCATCTATTCTAATTTTTAGATACTTCAATCATACCCAAGTGTATAAAAACATGGGATTGAACTGTGCGTTCTGTGATTGCTTCCACAGAGTTTCTCATGGTGATTGGTCACTACATGTCAAATACTAGTCTTTTTTAAAATCTGGTTATATTTAATGACCAAAACATTATAATATAATGGGGTTTATAACCCTCTTACTGCAGATGAAGGAAAAAGTTTTAAATAATTAAGGAACTTGTCAAGGGCCCATAGTTAGTAAGTGATACAATTTATATTTGAATCCAGGTAATCTTTATTTTTGAAATTATGCCTTTTCATCTATGACTAGGTATAGTTCTCATGAGAGCTTAGCCAAGTTAAATCATGCTTTATTCTAAGTAAAGTATTCATAGCAAAGCAAGCTGTTCTATGTGTAAATTTTCATCAACTGAATAGGAAACTGGAAAAAATATTACCTGGTGTCATTCACGGTAAACATGTTTATGATGTCTTTTCTAAATCCCTGAAAAGCAAAATAATCTCATTAGTGTTTAAGCCACTTTAAATCCCAGTGATATAAATCCATTTTGTGGATTTCAATGAAGACATTAAAAACTCACTATAAATAAATATTTAATGAGTATACATCACATAAACATTCACATCAATTCAATTTGGTTTTTATATGTATTAAGATAAAAGAGAAAACATTTATTCTTCAGCAATTTAATGATTGTTAAAAAAAGCTATGTAAATTTTCTTTGTGTGTATATAAAACATGATGTATCAGTTGTTGATATGATACTACTAAAACATATTTAGGAATGAATTTTATTAACATTTAAAATATTTCCACATCTAAAGTTAGCTATCAAACTTCAAATTTGTATTTCACAAAGAGGAGTGAGAAATAGCTTAGAGTAAATAAAGAGAGTATGGTGTCTTGAAATCCAAGGCAAAAAGTGTGTGAAAATAACAGGGTGCTGTCAGGATTTCAAATGGCAGGTACATAAATGGGAAGGAATAGCTCAATTTCATTGAGCTATATAGAGAGAGCTCAGTGTTGACTGAAAAAGTTTGGGTTAAAGGTAGATTTTCAAAACCATAATCCAGAAGAGTTAGAGAGAATGCTTTAGATATGTACAACAATGATTGTGAAAAATGAATCATAAAATGTCAAAGAAAAATAAAGATTTCCATTGTAAAGAGAGAGTGAGACTATTTAAAGGAGATAAACAGAATATAATAAATGGAAGTAATACTTCGGAAGACTTACTGCCAGAAAGAAGTTATTGTTCAAAATGAAGAGGAATGCAAGATCAAGAAAGTCTATTTTTCTTTGTTTTTGTTTTTTAGGTTTTTGCCATAGTGCATGTGTGCTTGCTGAGAGAGAGAGACAGACAGAAACAAACAAACAAAAAAAAAAAAAAAAAAAAAAAAAACAGAGAGAAGGAAAGGAAGAAATCCTCCCCTCCAGGGGGTATGGCCATGCCACAATCCCTTGTCCTCCATTCTCCTCTTGGGGTTATGGATATGTAGGCACATGTGCTCAGTGTGATTTTCGAGCTACCTGGTCCAAAACTTGAACCATGGTTAGCCATGTGGGAGTCCAGCACTTAACCACTACACCAACCGCAGGCTCAAAAAAACTCTGTTTTCTTTTTTAATTAAATAAAGTACTTAAAATGTGTTAGAAAAATACTATGTTAACAAATTATGGTGAGTAGTTTTTAATTTTTATAGTATTTGTTATTTACATTTTTCATGAAATGTTTTCTTTTTTTGTACTTTAAATACAAAAGTGCATCTAATGTTTTCATTATTTATAATATCATCAGGACACAAAATGGAACATTTTTGATGGATCAATATGATTATTGATCTTATTCACATCCCCATTAGGGTGCTTCCCACTTTTCCCTCTCTCTCCCTGTCATCTCTTTGTCTCTCTCTCTCTCTCTTTAGGGGGCACACACAACCTCTGGTAGATTATTTGTAAAATGTGTTCTTGTTTTCCTATTTATCCAAACAGTGTAGTCTCTCAAAAAATATCTAAATATATGAAATAATATTTTAATTTAATTATCTTTGATATTTTGTGAATTTTTAATTGTATGAAATAATTTAGTCATTATTAAGATATATTTGTCAGGAAGATAGACCAAGGTTATTTAATCTATCAGGTTGCTAATTTGGTTAAAAAAACTTTAAATATTGGGGCTGGCAGGTAGTGTGGTGGATAAGAGAGCTGGACTCCCACCTGGCCGACTATGGTTCGAGGACCGGACCTGATGGGTTCCTTTCTCACTTTCCCTCTCTCTCTCAGGCACACTCTGTCTCTCTCTGGTCAAAAATAAATAAATAAATAAATAAATAAATAAATAAAGTTAAATAAAATACTTCTTAAAAAAAAATTTAAATATTTATGTGTATAGTATGTAGATCTCCATTTTACCCTTGTACTGTACTCACCTAATATTGAAGATGGCCTTGCCAGCTGAGTAAACAGTCTTCGAGTTCAGAGCACAAGAAAAAGTGAACTAGAAATCTAGGAGTTCCTGAAGAATGCTGGAATGTTACACTTGGATTCAGCTTCGGATCTCAAATATTATAGGAATGAATGTTAAGGTAGGGTGAAGAAAAAGCCCTCTGGAAAACAGAAGTTCCAGAAAATGAATAGTAGAGTTATTTGGGGTATCATTTAATAATATATTGGAATTACCAATGATCTAAGATAGGAATGCTGTATAAAAAGGTGACAGTAAACAGGAGCAAAACAAAAAGACAATAAGAAAGGTATCTGAGAAATGAACGGAATTAACCTGGAAGTCAGTGAATCATACCAATGCTGTATGATGTAGTGTGACATGTTACAATTGATTTAAACATAAGTGGTATTACTGCAACTTCAAGAATTTCCCACACTTCTAAACCTAACTCCAGCATAGTCTAACATGTATTTTAGATCATTTAGATACATTTCAATGTTTCAATTCAATTATGTAACAATAGCTTTGCTGATTATATTGTCTAAATCATGAGAAGAAACACTTTACAACTTACATAAATTATCTTATACAAGTTCATGTGTGTTAATTCTGATTCTATATATTTTAAATCTGCTTGCTTAGATCAAGTGAAGGCATTATGGCAGCAAATAGTATAGAAAAATAGTATCAATAGTCATAACACCAATCAGCTTCCTAATTGGGAGATTAGTTTAGTACAGAGTGATTGCAATGTTGAGAATATGAAGAGTACTATGGAATTATTTGAGCCTAAATTGACAAAATAAGATAGATGCTATCTGTTATCTGAATGTGGAGAAAATTATGTGTAAGATTTCAGTGTGTTGAGCTGAAAAAAAGGCAAAGTAAAGAATATGTTAAGAAAAAGTTTAGACATAGGAAAACACAATGTGTTTGCGGAGTATTTAGAGTTTAGAGAGGAATAACCAGTAAAACTAGAATTGCAGGTTAGTATCATACTGAGGAGGGGTGATTGAATATCAAGGTGATTCATTGCAGAATGTTTCTTTAAGCACCAGAGGATAAAGTAAATATATTTGAAATGATTTCATCAAAATTTACACTTACTGGGACCAGCAGTTAGCATAATGGCTTTATCACTGGACTCCCATGTAGTCGACCGCGGTTCACGTCCCGGACCTGGTGGCTTAAAACTCACGCTGGGCGCGTGTGCGTGCATGCCCAAGATCCCAAGAGGAGAATGGAGGAGAAGGGATTGAGGCATGGCCATCCGACCTGGGGGGTGATTTCTTGCTTTCTGTCTCTCTGTCTCTCTTTGTTTGTCTGGCGAGCGCACGTGCCCTATAGCAAAAACCTCTCGAAAAAAAAATAATAAAAAATGAATAAATAAATAAAAATTTACACTTACTTAAATATCCAATGAAAATAAATGCTGCTTTTTAAATATTTTTGTATTTATATCAGTTTAGTTTATTGCACAGTATATCCTAATATGTTATATGACAGTTTTTTTCTTATTTTTACCTTCAGAATTATGTATTTTTTATTGGTAAAATGTTTTATCTCTTGATCAGCTGGGATGACCTTTTGATCACGAGCTTTTAGTTCTCTTTTCCTGTTTCATGGGTTTTATTCATTAAGCTTTTACCCCCAAAGAAAGGAGAAATGTAGTAAAGAGAGTAAAATCAATTATAACTCAATACAGCTTTGAAAACTTTCTAGAATACTTATAGAACATAAAAATCATCCCTAGAGATTTCTTCTCCTTAGAGTATATTTATTAACTTCAGCTGTTCATTTGCTGCTCTCTTATAATACTTGTAGTCACGACAGTCCTTATTAAGACTAAGATCTGAAATACTGTAGACTTTATTTTCCTTCAAACCAAAGAACAGTTTTTATTTCTTTAAAAGTACAGAACATTCCACTGAATTCTTTATCATTTCTTTTCTTGTGATGTGTTACTCCAAAGGAATGCAGAAAAAAATTTCCTGTTTTCCCTTAAAAAAAAAAAAAACCCTCAGAATTGTCTTCTATATTATTACATATATTAATACTTTTTAAAAAACTGATTTAAAGATAATGGATCATTTGAAAATTTGGGGTAATAATTTTAATAATCACAGGAAGTTAGTAAAATTTTATTCTTAAAAATACGACATGTACGACCGCTGTTTGCGCCCAGACCCGGTGGCTTAAAACTCACGCTGGGCACGTGTGCATGCGTGCCCAAGATCCCGAGAGGAGAATGGAGGAGAAGGGATTGCAGCGTGACCATCCCCCCTGGGGGGTGATTTCTCACTTTCTGTCTCTATGTCTCTCTTTGTCTGTCTGGCGAGCGTACGCGCCCTATAGCAAAAAACCTCTCCAAAAAAAAAAATAATAATAATAAAGAAAAAATAAAAGAAGAAAAAAAAATACGACATGTAAAAAAACTGCTTTGAAGAATAGAATTCTTAATTTTAACAAATATTACTGAGAGATCAATGACATACAATAAACTATATAAGTTTAAAGCATGTAATTTAGTAAACTTTTTTTATACCCATGAAAGAGTCAACATAATCAAGATCATTAACTAATTCACTGCTCCAAAAGTTTTCTCTGCCATTTTATTTCTGTCCTTAGAGTTCCTGACCTCTTCCTACAACCATTGATCTGCTTTCTGGCAGTATGGACTAGGATTTTAAATAAATAGAATCATGCAACAGTTATTCTGTTTTGGGACCTAAGTTCTTCAACTCTTGACAATTTTGTGTTTATCCATATCATAGCCTATGTCAGTAGTTATTTAATTTTTAATTTTATCACTGGGTAGTATTCCAATTTTATTTTGCTTTGCTTTATTTTAAACTCATCCACCATTTGATGGGCATTTTGAATTGTTTCCAGTTTAGGGATTCTAAAAAGCCATCTGTGAATATTCATGTACAAGTTTTTGCATATGAGGATTTTTCTTAGTGAAATCTGAGAAGAGAAATCACCAGGTATTATGTTAGATGTCTATAAAAGATTTTAAGAAACAGCCAAACTATTTTCAAAGCAGTTTTATTATACACTCTCATCAGCAATGTATTAAAAGTTCCAGTTCCTCCACTTGGTAATATTGATATCATCACACTTTTAGGTTTTAGCTTGAGTGAAATTTATGTGTTTATTCTTGTAAGATTGTTGTTTAGTGTCACATAAAACAAATTTTTGCTCTATCCAAACTCACAATTATTTCCTACAGTTTTTAGTACTTTTTGCATGGTTTTATATTTTATCTATAAGAATGAAATTCATTTTGAGTTAATTTTTGTACATTGTTCAATGCAAGGATGCATGAGTCTATTTTTTCTGGACTCTGTATTTCCTTCTTTTTAAATTATTATGACTAATATCATTTTAATTGATATAAAATAGTTGTATGTGTTTGTAGTTTACAGTGTGATTTTTATCTACATGTGTACATTGAATATTGTTCAAATCAGACCATTAAATATAACCATCATTACTTCATGTGGGGTCTATTAAAATTCACTCTTTCAAGGCTCACCCTGTAGTGCAGCAGTTAAGCACTGTGCTGAGGGGAGCAGATCCTGCATGGCATCTTGAGAGACATGCCAGCATGTGCAAACATTCCCAGGATCTGGTAAGATGGAGAGATAAAAGAGAAGAATTGTTGCATGCCCAGGCCCTGTTGAAAGGTGCTTCTCTCTTTCTTTCTTTCTCATGCACATGTACATGACTTATAGCAAAACAAACAAACAAATATAAACAGCAGCAACAAAAACATTAAAACTTCCCCAGTGAATAAATAAGTATCCTTTAAAAAATCCACTCTACCAATTATTTTGAAGAATACATTGAATTATTTGATCAATTTATTTTTATGGAGAAGACTTTCTTGATTGGAATGGCTATGTACCAAGTCTTTAAGGTAGGCAGTTTCAGCATCTCAACTTCATTCTTTTTGTCAATATCTTTATTATTTCACATGATGTTCAGAATGGGTTTATCCATCTTTACCAAAAACAAACAAACCCTTAAATAAAGCAAAACTTGCAAGACTTTAATTGGGATCCCACTGAATCAACCAACTAATGTCTTAACAACATTAAGTAGTCTAACCAGTAGACATGCTGTGCTTCTCTTTTTTTTTTAATTTTTTTGGAGAATTTTTTGCTATAGGGCACATGCACTCGCCAGACAGAGAGAGAGAGACAGAAAGCAAGGAATCACCCCCTAGGGGGTATGGCCAAACCGCAATCCCTTCTCCTCCATTCTCCTCTCGGAATCTTGGGCACTCACACTCACATGCCTGGCATGAGTTTTAAGCCAACGGGTCCGAGAGGCAAACCGCGACCAACTACATGGGAGTCCAGGGACATAGCCATTACGCTAACTGCTGGTCCTAACATGCTGTGCTTCTCAATTTACTCTTAAATTTTACTGAGGAATGTATAATAGTTTTAAGTACACAAGTTTCACATGTTAACAATGATCCCTTAATATTTTATATTTTTGTGTTATTGTAATTAATATTTTAGAATTTTATTTTCTAGCAGTTCATTTACTATACACAAATACAAAATTTTGCATCAATTTTATACTTTGCATACTTGTAAATCTAATTTACTTGCTCTAGTGCATTTTTTGGTGGGTTCCTGTGGATTTTCCATATGGATAATCATACTATCTTCAAATAAAGGCCTTCCTTTCACATGAAGTTGCTTTTTGCTCTATTTTAATTTTGTTTGATTGCTAAAAGGCAATCAGAGAAAGATAGCAAATCAGAGAAAGAGAGAAGGAGAGAAAGAAAAAACACCCCCAAATGGGATGCGGTCACGTTACAATCCCTTCGCCAATTGTCCATCATGTTGGGAATTTGGATATGCACACACATACTCAAAAGTTTTTAAGCAGCCAGTGACAGTATTAGAACCATAGTCATCCTTGTGGGATCAGGCTACCTTAACAAGAGGCTACCAGGCCAAACAAAACTTGTTAGTTTTCTTGCCTAATTAAAATGATAAGAATCTTCAGTAAAAGGCTAAAAAGTGCTGAGAGCAAAAATCTTGCCTTCTTTCTGATCTTAGGATGAAAGTTTTTCATCTTAAATAAATTTATTTGTTTTAGGAGTTTTGTAGATTCCAGTGAACAGGACGAGAAGTTTTT